AAAGATCAACCAATATAGGATGAGCATTTATGCAGCGGAAGTCTGATAACGAACTGACTCACATAGACCGACTCACACCAACTGACTTACATGGCGTCACTCCACACACGTACAATCATGAGATGGTGGGGTCTGGGTCATTCATAGACGATACCCAGATCCCGTACACACATACACAGATGAAAGGTGGGAGGAGAGACGAAGGAGGTGGGAGGTAGATCACACCGATAGGTCACAAAGATAGAGTCTGATAGGTCTCCGAAATGGTAGTCCAGAATGTCATATAACAATATCAAAATGTCGAGGACCAAAGGTCACCAATGTCGGAGATAACAGAGTCCAGATGTAACCGGTGTCCAACTGTGATGCAGCCGAGTATCAACCTCAACAATCTCCAAGTCTCCAATCAGGTAAGTACCACAGTCTCGTATCACCGAAATCCAACTCTGATCTCTGTCCAACTGGATAGTCTCCAATCTGAAGAAGAAGAAGAAGAAGAAGAAGAAGAAGAAGAAGAAGAAGAAGAAGAAGAAGAAGAAGAAGGAGGAAGAGGAGAGAGAGAGAGAGGGGACTGGCGAGGGAGAGGAGGAGAGACCCTCCAAGCTCCCGATACCTGAGGCGGTAATAACCGCCGTGCAAGCTCAGTCGCCCGCTGCTGCTCCGCTCGCTGCTGCGCTATGCTGCGCTCCTGCTTCAGCCCCTGTGCTAAGTTTAGCGCATCAAACAGTGCACTAGCACTGACCATGCCGTGCCGGTAGAGTTCCGGTAGGCCGATCCCACTACTGAGGCGGATACCGGTACTTATACCGGTGGGCAATGGTCTGGCCTCAATGCTGCGAGGCCAGGCCAGACCCTGAACCGTCCAGATGGATGGTTCAGCCTCAATCGGCGGGCGGCAGCTTCAAGAGCGCCGCCAGGCCCAAACGAAGTGTCGTTTGGGCCTACCCGATGGGTGATAGTCCAAAATCAGGCCTTTAGGGCCTGTAAACCCCAAAGGTCGGGCCTTTAGGCCCTGGTGTGTCCCTCCGGCCCTAAGTCGGGTCCGGTAGGACCCGTGTGAGTCGAAGATGTAACATGCTTACTTCGCAGGTGCCTTCCCCTTTTGCTGTCTTTCATATTCAGCCACCACCTGAGGTGCTGTTTCAATCAGTTCCTCTCTGGTGAACCACCGATCTTCTTTTGGATCTGTGTGATGCCTGAATCTGACTCTGTATTCTCTCTTGGGTTTTGGAGGTCTTCCTCTGCCAAGAGGTCTGGGAACAGGCATGTCTCTATGTTCCAAAATGTCGTCGATGTCCACGTGGCCATCCATGGTTGGGGGCAGCATCGATCTTCGTGAAGGAAATTGATCTGTCTCAGCGAAAGGTGCAAGCTTTGAGGCGTGAAAAACAGAGTAAGTGCGCAGGTGACCAGGGATTCAGATAACATAAGAAGGACCATCCAAGTCATCCCCGACTACGTCCAAGACTTCCCAGGAACCGAAATACTGTGGCATTAGTTTACGAGAGATTCTGAATTCCTGTCCTAGCTCACTAGCCTTTACCCAGACACGTTCCCCTACCTGAAATGTGGACTGTCGACGATGTTTGTTCTCAAAAGCAATCATTGCTTCCTGAGATTTCCTGATGTGCTCGACAACTTGCTGCAGCAACTTCTCATACTGCACACCATACTCAAGTGTGCCCGGAGTTGCAGAGGGTCGGTTTTCAGGCATGAGGAAGTCCAGCGCTGGTCTAGGCTTCCATCCCAAGTGCAGCTGGTTAGGACCGACGCCGATATTGCTCTGTACAACGTTGTTGTACAAACTGGCAATGAGAGGCAATTTCTCATCCCAGTCGTCCTGGTTGGGCTTGATGTAGTGCCTCAGCAGATGTTGCACAACTCTGTTCATCTGTTCGGCTTGTCCATCGGCTTCGGGATGATTCCCAGAAGTCATCTGAAGTTGACTGCCCATTTGCTCAACAGTCTTCTTCCATAACTCACTTGTGAAACGGACATCTCTGTCACTAATGATTGACTTTGGCAGTCCAAAATCACGCACCCAGTTGTCCGAAAACAACTTGATGACGTGCTCAGTCCTGGCAGTCTCTGGCATGGCAATCAGTCTAGCATACTTGGTGAATCGGTCTATGATGATAAAGATGTGCCTCTTGCCACTCCTGCTGGTCACCAAGGTGTCCATGAAATCCATCGAAACACTCTGCCCCGGACCAGCGGGAATAGGCAAGGGCTTCAGCAGCCCAAGCGGTGCTTGAGTTCGCGGCTTGTCCCGATGACAGACGTGACAGGTCTCCACATATTTCTTTGCGTCATCTAGCATTCCGGGCCACCAAAATCGCTGTACTAGATTGACCCTTGTTTCTTTATAGCCAAAATGTCCAGTTGCATCATGATATTCACCTAGAAATAAACTACGCAAATTTTCACTAGATGGAACAACTAATCTCTCAATCCCAGCCTTTCTCAGAAAGAGCAACCCATCCACCATCACAAACTCATCTTCAGTGGCCTTGTCTTTAGCCCTCAGCTTGCGGATGATGTCCATCGTGACAGGGTCTTCCAGATAGGCTCCCACCAGCGATTGAGTTACTTCCTCAGATACACCAAATTCATAAACTAGCGCCCCTAGGTAGTCTGCCCTACGTGACAGCGCATCCGCAACCTTGTTGTACTCTCCCTTCAGATACTCTAGCTTGAAGTTATACTCATCTATGACTTCAATCCATCGCTTGAGTGCATCAGAAAGAGCAGGTTGAGTCTTGCTCCATTTGAGGGTCTGATGGTCAGTTCTCAAATGGAAAAACCGCCCCAACAGAAAGTGCCTCCAATGGACAAGTGCCTTATAGAGAGCATAGAGCTCCCTTTCGTAGGTGGACTTTGCCGGTTTCTTTGATGGCATTTTCTTGCTCATATACTCAATCGGTCTCAACTTTTTCCCATCCTCCTGAGCCAGCACTGCGCAAATGCCGTACTGGCTTGCATCAATTGTCACAATAAAGGGCTTCTGAGGATCGGGCACCATGAGAACCTCGGGATTCATGAGTGCATGCTTCAATCGTTTGAAAGCACCCTCGCACTCATCACTTCAGTCCCAACTTCAGTCCCAAGGCGTATCAAGTCGAGTGAGATCAGTCAAAGGAGAGGCAACCGTGGAATAGTTTTTTCACAAAGTTCCTATAGTAGCTACACATCCCTAAGAAAGATCTGACCTCAGTCACTGTCTGAGGTCGTGGCCAGTCCCTTATACTAGCCACCTTCGCATCTTCCGGCCTAATCCCTGTCGTGGATACTTCATGACCCAAGTACAAGATCTTAGTGCGTCCGAATTCGCATTTCTCTAAGTTGACCTTATACTTGTGCTGCCGCAAGAGTGAGAGAACAATCTCTAAATGTTGTGCATGCTCCTCGACAGACTTACTGAAGACAAGAATATCATTGAGGTGCACGATAACAAACTTGTCCACGTAGTCATGGAAGATCCTATTCATGGCGTGCTGGAATGTATCCGGTGCATTGCAAAGGCCAAAGGGCATCACCACAAATTCATACAGACCGTAACTGGTCTGAAATGCGGTTTTGTGCTGATCCTCAGGTCTTATGGCAATCTGATGGTAGCCGGACTTTAAGTCTATCTTGCTGTAGTACTTACACCCCTGCACCCTATCCAATAGGTCGTCTATGCGAGGTAGAGGCTCTGCGTTCTTCACTGTGATGGCATTGAGGCCTCTGTAATCAATGCACATCCTCAACGATCCCCCCTTCTTCGGTACAAACAACACTGGAGATCCGAAGGGGGAAGTACTAGGCCGTATCCAACCCTTTTCTGTCAGCTCTTTCAGTTGTCGCCGGAGTTCGTCCAACTCAGCCGGAGCCATCCTATAGATCCTTCACCTTGGGGTCTTACTCCCTGGAATGATTTCTATGGCGTGGACAATCTCCCTATCTACGACTCCTGTGGGCTCGTCAAACAGATCAGGGAACTTAGTAACGACGTTCTCTATCTCCGGGGGTGTTTTAACGGCCTCCCCTTTCTCAGAGACTTAGACTAGGTACATACCCTCCTCTTGGTTCTGTTTATAGTAGTTGTAGAATGCTGATGCACACAAGCACCCGTAGGAGTCTAACAACCTACTAGCCTTGTACTTGGCTAGTCTCACGGTCCTCCTATTAGGCAACTCATGTTTGAGCACCTTCTTGTCCCAGTCAAACTGGGGCTTGGCAACCTCAAGGTAGTACATTCCTAACAGCATGTCGAACGATAAGTCGTCACTAACCAGGAACGAAATCTTGTGATTAAGTTCCCCTCCTCCATAGGAGAAGGTGCAGATTACATCCTTGACATAGTCTGACACTACCATGCGCTCCTTGTTGGCCAAAGAAGATGCTACCGGTCTACTAAGGCGCTGTACCCGGTCCTCTAGGTGCAACCTTTCCAAACAGTCGTGACTTATGTAATTCCGCGTGGAGCCGATGTCTACGAAGGCACCACATTTGTGGCCTCCTACAACAACTTCCACGACAAAGTGTTCCCCTCTAGGACATTTACTTAGTTCCACCCAAGATTCGCGAGATCCTTGCTTGACCACTCACTTTCTAAATCTTCTAAGGCCTCAGACACATCCAACGTACAGAGCATGGTTTGGTCTGGGTGTGTCTGCGGGGTGACTAAAGAGTCATTAGCTATGGCCATCTCATGAAGTGGGGAGGGTATCTGGCCCACTTCACCATGAGTAGAAGCAACTAAAACTTCCACCGGCCTCAAGTGTTTCCCGAGCTGGAACTGGTCCCAGCCGGGGAAGAAGGCACCCCTCCCTCAGGGGTTATCTTTTGCGTGACCTTTGCATTCTTGCACTTGTACTGGGTGTGTCTGTATTCACCACAGTTAATGCAAGCACCACGCACTCAGCGGTCCCGCCACACTTCCTGATCAAGACCTGCCTTAACCCAATCTGCTACTTTGGACTGATTGGAGGCGGCCTGCCCTTGACTCTTTTGATGACCGCCTTTGCTGCGGCCACCAGCCTTTGCCTTGACTATTGCGGCAAGGGTGCTACCCTCAGCGATTTCCTCACCGTCGTACTCTGATCCGTCCATCAGGTCGGTAAGTTCTTCGATTTCAGTTTGAGTCCGATCGGACTCAACCATCATCAATCTACTACCCTTCTTTTTCCACTCCTGTGGAGTCTTCTTCTTCCTCCCGTCTACTGGAGTAGGTTGAGCACTTCCTAGAGTAGCCTCTAAGTCTAAGAACTTTCTAGAGAAGGTCTCAAAAGAATGATACTCGAGGCGAGCCTCGCTGGCCAGTAAGGTTCTGAGATTCTCAGACAGACATCTCATAAACATGGTCAATAAGACCTGGTCATCATAGCGTATACCGGGAACGACGATGAGGTTCTCTACGGTAGACGTCAGCTCTCTGACAGACTTGTACCTTCTCTGGTCCACTCTGAGCATCACATCAGTGGCGATTTGTGCCTGCTGCAGATTATGCCAGCGATCTTCTACCATATCTAAGGCCTCTTCTAAAGTAAGGGTCTTACCCCAATCTGCCATGCGTCGTCCGAACCCAGCCTTAGCTACTATCCCATCCAGCCATTTGGCTGCCTTACCCTCAAGGTAAGATGCAGTAGTAATCACCTCCCCCTCTTGCAACGTCCTCTTTGCCCTTACCCACATTGGAACCGTTCTCAACCAAGTGTTGAGTTCCTCGTCTTTCTTCTCACCGGAGAAAGCAAGGGGTGGCTTCATCGAAGTCTTTGGGTACCATGGACTTTGCGGTTGTCCCTGAGGTGGAACAGTTTGTTGCGAATGTGATGTAGCTTCAGCCGCTGGATCAGAAGAAGAAGAAGCAACAGTCTGTGCGGCTGCTGCAGACGTACCACTTGGTTGTGTGCCAGCTTGTACCGGAAAGGGGCCTGACATCACCGTTAACGGCAACGACGACTGTGCTGCTGGCCGTAATCCTGACCTTTGCAAAAGGTCCAAGATTTGATCCAAGGAGTTCTGCATGAAATCCAGCCTGCTGTCCACATGCGCATGCAGTGACAGTATGCTGGACCTTAACACTTTCATTGCGTCAGACATTGCTGACTCATCTAACTCCTCTAACGCAACTTTGTCTGCCTCTAACGTATCAAGCCTGGCTGTTCTATTTCTAATCTCATTTTCTTTATCGGTAGCTTGCTTCAGTTCCCTCTCTACCCGAGTGCAGATCCTCTCGACTTGTTGGAGCTCTAGTAGCTCTCTGCTGCGTGGGGTCAACGGACTAAACTGCGAGCCCGCCATTTGACTTGTGGACTGACTGGAACCTACTGATCCGGAAGTACCCGTGGGCCCAGGGGGCATCCCCAACTGGGTCCCAGACAGGGATGCAGCAGAGGATGCTGCCGCGATAGCCATTGCTGCTGCGCTGACTGCTGCTGGTGTCTGTTCCCTAGCTGCGGCGTTTGCTGCTGCCAACGCCTGACTTGCGGCTAGTGCTGTTTCCCTGGCTGCTGCGTAAGCACGGACTCTAACTTCGGCATGAAGCCGTCTTTCGTCTCCCGGCCGTAGGGCCTGAAACACGTGCGGGACCCTACGTGATCTCGAACGTGTCAGCCTCGCATTGCCAACTCTACCCTCATCGGCGTCTGACCCACTCATCAGCTAGGCAAACACTATCTGCACTACAACTCCCTGCTGGAGTCCTACCACAGCATGTGTCTGACCGACACCTAATTTTCTATAAATAAATGTGTCCGACAGGTCCCCTTCTCCACCGATCAAGTGGCAGCCTACAACATTCACAAAGACTGTAAACATAATCTAATTTTATCCAGACTAGTTCACTTACAAAAGCTTTGCATAGAACTGGATATGGTAGTATACTACAGTCCTAAACTAAGCTGTCTGTGAGGTGTTAGCAGTCTGTCAACCAACTAATCAAAAATAAAACTAAATTATGTTGCAGATGTATGAACAGYGGAWATKGTTGTGTTTRCAGTTGAGCACCAATTGGAAMCTACCCTCCCCTCAATCCAACATACCGATGAGCATCAWTGAGCAGCAGTGTCATAGGTGTGCAATGTCGGCCCACCCCTGTGCCCCAGGTGCATGCTTATGACCAGGCTTGCCCATTCTTTATCCTCGCGGGCAACAAGCCGTACGTCCGACTGATCTGGCTGATCAAGAGGCTTATTTAAGGACTACCCCCAAGGTCGCTCAGGAATTATTTAACGTCGCAATCAGGACGACGATCACAGCAAGTGGACAGATCGGAACCCCATCCAGAAATATTTATAGACGGTCTGGGAGCGTCTGCATAAGCCTGTTCAGTCCGCACACCCCTCTATCAGCGCAGCAAAGAGCCCCAATGGACAAAGCAGCCATCGCATGCGTGTACTAATCCCATTGGGTTGGCATGGTGACCGTGACCCATGTGCTTCGACCAGGGCGCTTCAGAGGCACCGCCCTTTCTCCTTCCAGATGCGCCACCGGGAAGATTGTCATCTCTCAAGGTAGAGCGCTCACGACTCCTGACCAAAAAGAGAGGACTCTCAAGTTGGACTCACTTCCTCGCGGTAAGAAGAGATTGAGAGGGTAGATAAGGTAAGGGAACAACGTACCTGGAGATAGCTGCGCCCCCAACCACAGATTTCTCACCAATTGAGCCGAATGTGCATTTGATGACCGGTCATAGCCTCGGTACCACCCACAACGCAATGCAGTGCCACCTCAGCCAAATGCCACATCAGCATGCTCTCATCACCATACATACATTCTGCAGTCACCACGGCCTCCCAAGTCGTACAGCCTTCCGGCGCGCACCTCTCTACCCAGGTCGCACACCTATTTTTGGCCCGCCGTCACAAGAACCAACTGCGAAGAAGCATCGTCAACGCACCAAGTCTGTATAACGCCGGCGCACCAAGGTAAGCGGCAAATCGAACCAGCCCCGATACCAAATTGCAAGGAACATGAATGTGGACGAAGCAAAGAAAGCCCAATTGCAAATCACACTGAAGTCCGAGTAGTCAAAGCAAGAGCAGATAACACATTGGAACCAAGCAACCATCCATTTGAGAACGATACAGCAAAAGTCATGAGTCAATGTCCAAGCCCAATCGGGCAACACCAACAACATAACCCGAAGTAGCCCTCTCTCTTGAATGGCGCCAGGCGCCCTATCTACTCTACAGCCTATCCTACAACTACAGTCGTGGAAGCAACCAGACGACTTGACGACCAACTAGTGATGACGTCAACACCAATGCCGACCTCCTCTTCCACCAGGTACGTCACTCTCTCTTGTCCCTCACTCTCCCTTGTTATCCCACACAGCGCCCTTCACCTCCCGAAGAACCACCGCCCTCACCTCCTCCAGCGCCCTCATGCAGCCTGGCTATGGCTGCCAGCGCCCTGCGCCCAGGCTGCGCCCTACCGCTTAGCGCCAGCCTGCCTTCTCTCAGCCTAGCGCAGCGCAGCACACTCGCAATGCAACAGCGTGCCGGCCTTGCTCGCAATGGCCAAGATCCTCGCCCACTCGCCCCCTCTGCCTATATGCCAGTGTTGCGTGTGGGCAGTCTACCTCGAGCCTGCGCCTGGGTCCCAGTATCTGTGCCCAGGCCCAATGCAGATGGGGCCCAGGTAATACAGTTGCGCCCGTTATGCTAGGGCCATTGTCCAGATTCAGACCCCGTACCTGTTTCCCATTGGTTTCCTTGGCCCCCATGACAAAATACTGCTTTTCCATAGGCCAGGGACCAATGTGTGATGTGTTGGCCTCCTAGACTGTCGCCCAGGGCTCAACCAACCAAGGCCCTGGGCTCAACTGCCTCTGCAGGAGTCTGAGGCTCCCGATGCACTCCAACCAACTGGCGTGTGGCAACTGTCTGATACCCACTTTGTGAAATGCTGAATGAAGGCCTCTTGTGGATATTCTGGCCCGCCTTTACTTAGGGCGGCACGAGG